GGATCATTTATTTTAATTATTTTAGTTCCGGTTCCATAATATTTTCTTTAAAGCCGGATTTTCATATTATTTCTCGGAATATTTATATGTTTCTTTAAATTCAAAAGTTCGATAATACATTTTGGGGCTTAGCCCAATATCACAGAATTGGACTCGATTTGACACTGTGGTTTATATTTGTAAGCCGTACACATCAAAATTTTCAGATTTTTGTTTAAATTAAATTCAAAGTTTCGAAATAAAATTCGAGGGTGTTTCAGTTTTCGTAATCTCGTGTCCTCGTGTCTGTGCAAATTTAGCTCCTAGTAGCAATTAAGTATTTCTTATTTTTATGGCTTGGGATTATTTTGTATTTAATATATTTTAATTTAATTTTAATGCGTTATCTTGATTTGGGATGTTAACTAATCTTGATGGGATGTAACTAATAGATATTATCATGATAAAGACATTATCTAAAAATATAAAACAACTTATCTTCTTACAATTGCTGTCATTACATCGTATCTTCTTACAATCGTACTAAATAATTATTGTCATTCTCATACTTGGCAATTTCAGATGCTTACACATGACTTTCATATAATGCAAACTGCTTTGCTTATACACACACATATATATAGATAGATAGATAGATAGATATTCTTTCTCTGTTATTACAATACAGACGAGAAAGAGTTGGTAACATCAATCCTCATTTTTATCTCTGTCACAACTCTAAATATGTATCAATAATAGCTAGAATAAGAATTAAGGTCAGATGGATTGACCCATTCTTGGTTTGTTAAGATTAGCACTATATTTTTTTATCAAGATTTGGAAAGCTCTGGCCAAAAGTTGAAGATTAAGAAGAAGGAACAGCTCCCAAAATGGTATTTGGCTGAAGTTTAACCACTTCCTGGATTTTGACTGTTTAATGCTTGCTATAAGCAACTGCAAGGGCTTTTACTGGATTTTGACTGTTTAATGCTGCTATAGCGACTGCAGGGCTTTTACCAATATTGAACTGGAAGTGAATTAATCCAAATGGAAATACAAAAACATCTCCTGCTTTTAAAATTTTGACAAAAGCCTTATGATCAGGATTTCCTGTAATGAAACCAGCATAAAGAGTTCCTTCCAATACTGTTATGATTTCAGATGCTCGAGGGTGATGGTGTGGCGGGTTGACTCCGCCTGCTTCGAAGTCAATTCGAACAATGGATAGTGCTAATGTATTGAGTCCTGGTATTTCTTCTACTGTTAAAAGATTTGTACGGACTCCGAGTTGGTCTGATGTCGGCCTAGCAATATTAAGTCCAGTATGGTAAAAATCGTCTGCTGTTACATGCTCTGGATCCTTGCAGAATTTTCCATTTACGAATGCTGCACCAAAGATAAAATTGAAGTGATTATCTATTATTCATATAGTTAATTTAATTGATGGTGGAGCTGGAAATTTTAAACTTGAATAGACTAATATTCAAAAAGTAACATAAATATATTTTAATGGTATTGGAGTGGTCTCTAGCCAGGATTATAAGCTGCCAATTCAAGCAAATTTATGAAAAACAAAAAATAAAATAACATGAGGATATGAGTGTCGAATTTTAATCCCATGCGAGATTATACCAAGTTTACCTATCTTAATGTCTTCAAATTACCTCATTGAGAATTTTAATCCCATGTGACATTCTATGACATTCTATTATCTTTTCGTTATCAAAATCTTTAAAATATATATTAGGATTTTCATCGTTATACAAAGTGATATCCGATGAATCTGATGTTAAAATTCAAATTCTAGACAGGTTAATTAATATGGATTAGTGATAACCCTAGGAACAATAACTCAAGTTTAAGGTTAATGTTCAAACTTCAAAAGTTCACTTTAACTGCCTTTCCAATCCAAGAATTCATTTGGTTGGTACGTTATTCACTGACATTTGATTCTTGGTATCATACTCTATAAACAAAGATTTTGTTTCATATACAAAGGTTAAACATAGAAAAAAAAAAAGATTTACCACTCCTTGAAATCACAAATATAACAAGTATTTTGGAACCAACTATTTTCTCAAACGTAACAAGTATTGTGGAAAGGAAGTAGTACTAATTAGAAAAGAAAAAGTAGTTATGTGGTTAAACTTGTGATATACTTAACGGAACAGAGTGAGTAATAGGAATACTAATAGTAATAAAAAGTAGTAGTAGTAGTAATAATAACAAGCACGTATATATGAATACCTCCAGAGGAAGTATCATCGGTTGCCACACAGAAGTCTTGTAGAGGGCTAGGATCATAAGCAACGGAGACTGAGAAAGCCAAAGCCAAGATAGAAAGAGGTACAAGAAAATTAGCAATTCTCATTATTTTTTGGAATGTTTAGATATCGAGTAGGGTTTGATAAGCAATGAATGGATGAGGTTTTTTCATATGGTATGGGTACTAATTTATAGAAGAGGGTATCAAGAGGGTGGGTATTCCAATGGTGGATTATTTAATTTACTCACAAACAATTGCATTAAGGGAGAACTGCTATCCGTGGCCTAAGTATTTGTAATAAAAATGGAAAATGAATAAAATAGTATTTAATAAAAATGAAAATGAATAAATTTAATTACTCTCTCCTTTTATAGATCAATATTGATTTGATTTTTATACATATATTTTCTTCTTTTAGAGTTTCAAACTTATTTATTATCAAACACAAAAGAAAATTCCATAAAGCAAATCTGTTTGTGAATGTTTTATGCTTCTTGTATTAGCTGGTACAGATTGCCAAATGAAACCTGAAACTTTTTCATGGAAGTTTCAATAAATGTCTTATTCGAAAGGTTAATCCTTTTTTGCCAATCAAGTATCTCGAGTTTAAGTCCTTTCGATCAGAAGAGTTTTTATCAATTTAGTGAGCTATGAGGAAAGCTATCCCTATAGTGGAACCAAAAAAAATAATTAGAAGGGGCAAAATTTTTTTTTTTTTCAAAATTTAGAGGAAGCGATATTGAAAAAAATCACTCTATTATAGCAAAAGGTAAAATTTTCTATATTTTATGAGGTAAATTTCAAAAAACAAAAAATCAAAATTAAGTGTCGTTGACTACCTTTGTTGTGTAGCCTGTAATGCTATTTCAGCTCATTAGCACTTCTAATAAATGAGAAAAGGTTAATCCTTTTTTTTTATGTGTAAATAAATTTTCACGTTTAAATTGAGATTGATATTCAAGTAAAGCTCTATTAACAGTAATAATTTTAAATTTTAAATTCTTGAACTTATAAATAAAATTCACCTCGAGATGTAATGTATTAAACTAATTCAAGTGCTTATTAATAAAGTTTAATCCATTTTAACTCACATATCACACCCGCGAAGTGATGAACAGAATTTTTAAAAACTTCAATAGCCACATTGTTCGGTGAGTGATTCTATAAAAGACACAAATTTAAAAAGTTATTGAGCTATTTTCTGTTTGTTCAATTTCAATAAAGACAGGATTTTTCCGCATCAATTCTCTTTCTATGCATCACCGGCTAAATTTATTTTTTGAAAGCTCTCTTTCCAAGGTTGGCCCACCTCTCTTCCCTTGGCAGGATTTTAGGTTCTCACAAAGCCAAGGACAATAAAAATCTACTTATCGAAAAGGAAACTATGCGCCCTATCTACCGTGACCGTGACTAGTGCATAGTTTAGTGGGCAACTACTAATGCACTGTGGAAGCATTTCCCACGTGCTATCCCCAATTTAGATATCGTGCAAAAAAACAAAATTTTTTTCCTTTTATTCTGTGCTTTTCGGAAAGATTTATGGCAAGATTTAAATAAATTTTGAATTAAAGTACGTAATTAGAATTTAGGATGTAAAAAATAAATAAACAAAAATTTAATTTTTTTTTTCCCACATAAAGAATGTCATGTAATGTAATGAATTAATTGCATGCAAAATTAGGGGTAAAAGATAAATAATAAATCCAAGAAAGAATAGATATCTCACACAAGCAGGCAGAGGATGCCAAAAGAAGAAATAGTAATTAAAAAATAGTTGAGAAAATAAGCATTAAACAAATAAAGGAAGGTATGTGGGAAACTTTAAGATGGATGATATAATAAAATTATGACATTTATTAAGTTAGGTATATATTAATGAATTGGTATAGTAAATGACTAAATGGGCCTTAATTAGCAAATTCATCCAGTGACAATAAAAGCTCAACAGTCATCATTTGACGAACTGTAGGTGAATGCAGCTTTCAAACATTTATAGGACAACCATTTCTATATCATCTGAGCTACCAAACCAAAGAGTCAGTGAGTGGAGAGATCGACACAAACTACTACTTGTAAAGATGGCTAAACTGTTCACCACTTTTAAGTGCATGGATACATGTCTCAATCTACTTTTCAGCTCATGTCTTTCCTTTAATGGCCTCCTTACTCATTTTTAAACTCTAGTCCTTATAATATTTATTTTCATAAATTTCTTTAAAATTCACTTTCAATTACAGTTTTAAATGTCTAGCTATTTTAATTATATTTAATTGTTAAAAATTGAGTTACGTTATGTTATCCAACACTTTAAAAAGCCTAAATAAAATTTTGGTATGTACTCGTTTTTTTTTTTTGTTGAAGTATATAAGTTTGATAGCTTTAGTCAAAACTTTGAATTGAAAACTTAAGTACTCGGTTTTTTTTTTTTTTTTTTTTTTGAAGTATATAGTTTGATAGCTTAGTCAAAACTTTGAATTGAAAACTCTTTTCAATGAAACCATTAAGCTTCTCCGTAAAAAATTAGAAATAATGCAATTAGGACATTCTCTCTGCATCAACAGAAATAAGATAGAAATGGAATTCAAAAGTTAAAAAAATTAAAATAAAAAAACCATAATTTCTTTTTTCCAATTTCTTTCGTCTTTCTTTTTACGCTACACTTCTATTTCTCTGAGCCTCTAAAATTCCAATCTATCATTTAGCACAAATCACAAACATCAAATCTGATTTCATCGTCATCAAATCTTGATCAATCTCAAATTGAAATATTGAGATCGATTCGAGGCTTCTTTGCCATTGGCAACGGAACAACAGTACTGCACCTAGGACATTTCGGATTATTTTTCATTATCAATACATATGATAAGCAACCTGGACAACCTGCAGCCACGGGTGAAGATGTAAGTTTTTCTTCATCTTCATCATCTGAAAGATCTTTCATGGAAGAAGATGATGAAGAATATGATGGTGATAACCGGGATTTCCACAGCGTTGTTGATCGTTTCCTAATTGGTTCTTTCTCTGCTCTTTCAAGTGCTGATTTTACTTTATCGAGTGTGTGCACACTCAGATATTTGCCTGATGATGGTGATGATGATGGTGATGAGACTAACTTCAATTCTAAGTTACTCTCATCAAAACATGTGCATGTGCATGTCAACTTCAAAGCTTTTAGCTTCTCCATTAATTAATTAATTAACTATTAAATTAATTGCATCAACCATAAAAGGTTGACTTGAGTTGTAAAGCAGAGTTGGAAGATAGTTAGTGGTTGGATTAGTTAAACCTTAGTTGTCAAACTACATGTGATCGGTTAAGCACACGATGGAAGTAACGTATATAAGAAATAACAAACGTTAGACTAGCAAATGTTTGACTAATGAGAACACTTCATAAATGGAAAGTAAAACAATCAAAAATAATTTTTTCTTCAAATGATATTATTTTTAACCATTGACCAAGAGAAAAAAAAAAGAGTAATAATTTTTTAAAAGTTATAATTGTATTCCATTAGTAAAAATAATGCTATTTTATAATTAATTTAATTAAAAGATTTTTTTATGTTTTTTAAAAATTTTCCTCTCTCTCTTCTTTATCCCAGACAAAATTATTTAACATACTTTCTTTCATGTAAACCTCATCATCATCACCACCACTTCCACAATCTCTCTCTCACAGAGCAATAAAGAAACGAAGCCTTTCAAGCGGACAAAAACATGGGTGAATGGTTATTATGCTAGATTTTGAATACATGGTTATTATGCTAGATTTTGAATACATATTTCGAATTAAAAGTATATAAGCCAGAAATTAAAGTTAGGGGTTAAAATATTTTTTAGGTTAAATTGAAAACATTTATGTATTGTTTAAAAGGTAAAATAAAAAAAATTCAATATCTTATGGGTATTTTTTTTTTTAAAACAATTTTGGTTAGGTGAGATAGGGGCCACTACTAACCTCTCCTATCGTGGTTGAGTATATAGTACTAAATAATTAAGAAATGGTATCAAGAGTTGATTAATTGATGATTACTAAATGGTATATGATGTTATTTTAGAATTATAAGGGACAATTTTATCTTTTGTCTAAAAAGTTATATAACATATTGAATTCAACTTTGAACAAGATTTTTTTTATTTAGACAAAATTTTTGATTTACAAATTCAGATAAATAGCTTAATTGTTCAATTTAGAGAAATAAATTTATTTTATTATTATTTAATTGAATAATTTGAAGTTCTATATTCTCCATTTCACACGATCCATTCAAAAAAAATCAAAAAAAAAAAAAGGAATATACCCTTAAAAAATTCCAATAATAGTTTTCTCTCTACAAATCAAAGCTACAAAATTAAAGACTCAAAAAATAAAAAAAAAAATCAAAAACAAATGAAAGACCTAAAGAAAAAAATTCAACAAACAAATCAAAAACTTTAAACAAAATATCTAAAGTGAAAAATAAATTCATGAAAAGAGGGTTGCGTCGATTAAAATTAGAATCAAATTGACACAAGTCGAAAGCTTTTTTTTTTAGTCGAAAGCTTTATTTTTTATTTTTTTTTTTTACATTAAAAAAATTAAAAACTAATTTCAAGAGACCAAATCAATAGAACCAATCTTGGTTCAGTTCTTGGGTTTATGACTTTAATTATAAAATTATTAGAAATTATTTCCTTATAAAAGAGAATGAGAATAACTGAAAATATTGTTAAAAATAATAAAACATTTCAATTTGGATTCCATCCGATTCAATTTTTAAAACTTTTCGTACAAAAATTAAATTGAATTGAGACAAATATTTGAATTTTAAAATTAAACTAAATCAAATTTATAAATTAGTTTTAATTCAATTTTTCATTTAAAAATTATTTATAAATTTATGAAGTTAGAGCTTTGATTTGCGAAAGTAACGACGAATTGGAGTTTGGTATGACTACTTTTTTGGATTTTAAAACCATTGATTTCGGTTATAAGAAGGACAAAATTAGAACCAGATCGCTTTTAGACGGCTTGTAAGACGGTTTTGGCCATTTCATTTCAGTTTTGAGTAAAAATTAGATAATTTTTTTCATTTTTTTTTTTGGTTTTTAGTTCAAAGAAATAATAATAATAATAATAATAATATAATAAACAAATAATAGTACTACTGAAAAAACTAAACCAATTAAATAAGTCTAAAAATTTATTTTTAACATTATAATAAAACAAAGTAGGCATTTCTTTAAAAAGAACTTTTTTCAACATGGCTTCAAGTCTAAACCGCCAATTTTAAAACAATTATATCAATTCGATTAAAAAAAAAAATTTAAAAAAACTAAAATCGAACCCGTATGGGGATTTCAAACTGGCAATTCAATGACCCCTCTATCTGATTTTGGTTTGAATTGATTGGTTTAAAACAAATTGTGGTCATGCTATAGGTGAAGTTTTAATCACTGCGAGAATGAGAAAAAAATTTAATAAAGTTTAAATTAAACATGATTAGTTTCATTAAAAATAAATATATTCTTAATTCATACCCACGATAAGCAGTCGCAGGCCCCCCCACCATACTTCAATTATTTGAACTCCAAAGACTTTTAACTTTTAATTGGTTAGTTTCAAATTACTGACTGTTTGTTCTGACCTACATGCTCTGGATCCTTTTGCAGCACTTTCTCCATTACAAATACTGCACCAAAGACGTAATTCATATAGTTAATTTCTTGAATTGATTTGTGGAGCAAAACCTTTAAACTTGATGGACTAACATTCAAAAATAACCATTAATTGATATCAATAATGTGTAATAATTATACGAATTGATATTCAAATAATTTTATGTTAACAAATTAAATTTTAACCATGTAAATGTGGACTATACTTTAGGGAAAATGAGTCAACTATTGGCTCAAAATCTTGAGGGTTAATGTTCAAACTTTGAAAGCTCATCCTAGAAATTTCATTTTGTGGGTTAATAGTTATAACTCTCTACCCTTATTGATTGAAATTTGATTCTTTGTCTTCAGACCCACAAAGTTGGATGTTTTTCTCTAACATTAATTTCTCATTATTAATTTTCACATATTTCGATATAAGTAAGAAGGAAATAAAAATTATCTTTAGTGTGGAAAAGAAATAAAATATTATGTGAAAATTTACGATTCATACTTTTTATTTATATTATACTTTTATTTATTTTACAATAGAATGTAATTCTAGTTATTTTGAGGCTTTTAGATAATTCAATAAAAATAAGTGAAAATTTCACTTTCTTTTATTTTTTCTCTTTAAATTGGAAAGCTTCAAAATATGATAAGTCTAGTGGAAAGTACGTGAAATATTTCTTCTTTCAATACTTTTTTTCCAAACAAAGCAAAAAAACACTTTCTGTAGAATGTGGAAATAAAGACCATAGAATTTTGATTTTGCATAGAAAATAGCAAATTTTGTATTTTCTTTCTGTTTAATATAGATACATTTTTTTGACACGTAATTATCAAATTACTTTGTCCAGCCACTTTAGTTCCTCAATTTTTTTTTTCAAACTAAATGTTCTTCTTCAAAATTGCTACAATATAATAATTGTATTTTAGTAAATTTCCCATTTTGAATAAAAAATAATTCGATTTATATTTTGTGGTATAATGTTTTCAATTCACAAAATTGATACGATTAAAATCCAAATTATGTAGTTCAGACCAATGAATTTTAATAATATTGAGATTGTGTTTCTAATCTCTACTAATATTTTTGTGATAATAATAATATAATAATAATAATAATAATAATTGGTTATAATTTAATTTAATTGGTATAATTTTAATTTTATTGCTGCTGCAACTAATAATCTATCCAAAAATGACCCACGTGGTTATCCTCTTTATTGAAAATGATATGCTTCAAGTGTAATTGAATTATACATATTGATTTTGCTATCCAATTCAACATTTTTTCTCTTATTTATCAATTGGACATCAAATAGCTGAATTTATTTTGATGCATGAATATTGATTAAATTGGTCTTATATTTATTGATATCAAAACAAAAAAAATATATAAATGAGATCTTGCTTTCGAGTCATGTTCAATAAAATTAACTGTTTTAATAATTGTTAGATGTTTCAAACTCTAAATATTAATATAAAAATCAAAATCATGCTACTAAATCCTATAAATAATAGAGTTAATCAAATCATTAAAAGTTATATCAAAAGCTGTTACAGAAATTAGTCTAGACGAGAAAAAAAAGAAAACTTTGTATTTAAACATAATGGGTTTTTAGTCTTGTATTAGAACCAACCTTAAAAAATATACTACTTATGTCCAAAACTAAGGATGTCCCAATCATTGCAGTTTTCTTTGACTACTGATTATACTAAAAATGCAAACGTTGCTATCCAATTTGCCTGCCTGATTCATTGAACGAAAGGTTTTAGTAATGAGCCAGCACTTTAAGGCTTTCTAGGTTCTAAACTGAGATTAAAACTGATTTTTTAAGTTTGAGAACTGGCTAGTTGATTTTGATTTCAATTTGGGATTGAAATCGAGTATCTGGTTCTTGATTGTTTCTCTTATGAATGCTTTTCTAGATCGAATTTCTTAAATTCACAGAAATCATCCGTCAATGTACCTTACTGCTTGAATCTAATCGGTATCTATTGGAAGTATATACATATATATATGAAAACAAAGATGGATATACTTTTTGTAGCTTTTTGTAGCGAAGAAATAAGCCTCGTATTATCAACCATAGGAGCAACCATAACGTATAGAAAATATCCTTTGAGCCACAGTCTAAGAGCACCTTGCCTTAGCAATCAGGGTTTTATGCGTGACTGAGAGATGGAAAGACGAGAGAGATTAAAAAAACCTATTTTCTGCTATGAATAATGATGGATTACGTAAAACAATACAGATAAGATATGAACAAATTATTTATATCTAGAAAGAATAAGTATTATCACAATAATAATTAATTAATTAATTAATTATCATAAATTCTAACAGTATTACCTAAACCCGTGCACGTTTGGCATGTTACGTTTGAGTGGATATTGCTCTTATTGCTTGACCCAGCGTTTAGGCGCAGCCTTCTTTCTTGTTCCTTTTCTAGTTTCTATACAATTCTTTTGTTTGTTCTGTTTTACATGTACCCTACCCACTAACCTTTGTCTTTTAATAAAGTCCTATTTACTGGAAAAG